AGGTGGGCGATGGCTAGGTGGAAACATGGCATGATCAGCAAACAGCCAGAGCAGATTGAGCATCGCCAATTGATTCTCCTAGCACCGACGGAGAGCCGCATCAGAGAGGACACTGAAAGCACACACAGACCATGTACAACTGAGCGGCTTGTACACTGTACGGTCATTGCTGAACGTTCGTTTCACACAATAGCAAACGGAGAAACATAGGCACACACACAGAGACAGATAGCGAAGCTGTCGTCGTCATCGAGTTCGGTGTTTGATCGATCAGTGGCGACCAGACAATGCTTAGAGCCGGTGGTGGTTAGAGTGTGATTCAACGCCATCAGTGAGTGAGTGAGTGTGTGACTGTGTGCTCGCTCTGTCTCTGTCAGACAATGACATTTACATTTTACAAATTAAACGATGACTGCAGTGACGACCAACATGAGCAACGGCTGCGACGGATGTGCAGTGGTTGTCCCAGTGATCACTAATGAGCTGGCATACAGACAGACAGAGTCACCCAGAGTCAGAGTCACTCAACAGGTAAAAAGGCTAAAAGCGGCCAGTCTCTTTTATTTTATCATCACTAGTGCTTATTTACTTGAATCGAAGTGTAAAATAGGGGGCTTCCGCTGCACAAGAGAACTGATGGGGCAATTGGTCAGCGGTGCAAAGAGAAAGAGGTAAAATAAAATCTGTTTTCAGTGAACGTCTCCTAGGAGGAAGAGGAGGCGTTCACAAATTGCAAGGCTTGTTAGGAAGTTGTAAGGAAACTAAGAGAAGAGAAGAAAAAACTGAACTGCGACGGTGAAAATAAAAAAAGCTGACTCCCGGCGAGAAAAAAGCGAACTGATCATTTAGATCCTTCCCAACTCCTTCAGTTTGCTCAGCAGCTCATCGACGTCCTTCACCTTGGCGCCGGCCTCTCGCTTGGCGGGCTCCTCCATGGAGAGCACCTCAATTCGAGGCGTAATGTCAACGCCGAGGTCCGCCGGGGACTTTTTGTCAATGGGCTTCTTTTTAGCTTTCTAAAAAGAGAGAAAAGAAAGAGTTAGGTTTTAGCCAAAACAAANCATTTAGATCCTTCCCAACTCCTTCAGTTTGCTCAGCAGCTCATCGACGTCCTTCACCTTGGCGCCGGCCTCTCGCTTGGCGGGCTCCTCCATGGAGAGCACCTCAATTCGAGGCGTAATGTCAACGCCGAGGTCCGCCGGGGACTTTTTGTCAATGGGCTTCTTTTTAGCTTTCTAAAAAGAGAGAAAAGAAAGAGTTAGGTTTTAGCCAAAACAAAGAAAGTGCACCAGGCATGAGGACAGACCATAATGTTGGGAAGTGTGGCGTATCGAGGCTCGTTGAGACGCAGGTCGGCGCTCATGACGATGGGCAGCTTGTACTTGATGTTCTCCAGGCCGCCGTCGATCTCCCGAGTGACTAGTAGCGAGCCGTCGCCCTGGCCCTCCACCTTCGAGGCGTTGGTCGCTTGGGGCCAGTTGAGGATGGCCGCCGTCATCTGCGCCGTCGAGTTGGCATCGTCGTCGATGGCCTGCTTGCCCACAATAACTGTAAAAGTGAAAGCGAACAGAAGCTTTAGTTAGCCAAGTGTGAAGTGTGAATCACATCAATCACCTACCAATATCGGCCTTCTCCTGTTCGGCGACCTTGGCGAGTATCTTGGA